ACCCTAAACCCTAAACCCTGCTGGACCTTCGAAGGACGAAAGGGCACTCCGTTGCCTTGACACTGCGATGGAGAGCTTGGGTGCCGCTGCAGCGGAGCCTTTCGGATATGCTGGATTAAGGATTTAGGGTGTAGGGTTTAGGATTTAGGGTGTAGGATTTAGGATTTAGGGTGTGGGGTTTAGGGTTTAGGGTTTAGGGATTTAGGGTTTAGGGTGTAGGGTTTAGGGTGTAGGGTGTAGGGTATAGGATTTATTGTTTAGGGTGTAGGGTTTAGGATTTAGGGTGTAGGGTTTAGGGTTTAGGGTGTAGGGTTTAGGATTTGGGATTTAGGNNTAGGGTTTAGGGTTTGGGTGTTTTTGGTTTAGGGTTTGTACAGGGTCTAGGGTTTAGGGTTCAGGGTCTAGAGACTTTTGGGTTCAAGGTTATTTGGGGTTTAGGTTTTAGGGTTTAAGGTTTAGGGTTTAGGGTTTGCAGCAGACCTAAGTAGGGTTGAATATCGGGATGCGCTGACGGGATCTATGCTCGAGGGGCTGGGACTAAACCCTACACCCTTGACCATAAACACTACACCATACACACCCTGCACCCTAAAGCAAAAAGCACTGAACCCTGAAGTAGGGGTGATAGGTTTCCTTTGATGGTGCCTGTAAGTGTTTGTATAAGTGCTTGTTTGTACTTGGCATGTGGTGGCTATAAATGCGGCTGCCTTCGAACATAGAAGAGTGTATGGTTGAGGGTTTATGGGGAGACTAATATCATCAAAGCCCCAAACCTCAACCCAACCCCTAACATACAATAAGAGCCCTACTTTCTGTGGGGAGTCCTCTAGATTAGGGGCACATCTGGGTCATTCTTCCGAGAGTGATGTGTTCCTTGCGGGGGTCCACCCTCATCTAGAGAACTAAGCCACGTGGGGCTCCTTTCAAAGCCCGCAATTTATGTAGGGTGCCGTAGGAAGAGTAGCATTATGTAGGGTTCCCAGAGAGGATCGTTACCATAACCTAAACCTCTAAACCCCTAAACCCTAAACCCTAAACCCTAAATCCTAAATCCTAAACCCAAGTACTTTTAAGCACTATGCAGGTCGCCTTCCTTAGAGCAAGGGCTCCTCGAGGGCCTAAGCCGTAGACACTAAACCCCAAAACCTACTGTCTGGTGCTTAGTAGGGAATGGGGGAATGGGTTATAGGCTATAGGGACTACTATAAGGGACCTTCATAGGCATGCATTCCCCCATTCCCCACTAAACCCCAAAACCTAAATGCCTCACCCCTTCAACTCTGAATCCTAGGCGCCTGACTGCACTTTCGGGTCTGATAGCCCCTAAACCCTAAACCCTAAACCCTAAACCGAACCGTAGACATTCAGGTCAGGAAGCCCCAAACCAGGAACCGTCAAAGCATGAGCCTAAACCCGCCAACTGAACCCTAACCCCTAAACCCCTCAACCCCGAAACACCGAAACCCCTCAACCCCTCAACCCCAAAACCCTAAACCCTAAACCCTAAACCCTAAAACCCTAAAACCCTTAAACCCCTAAGCCCCTAAACCCCTAAACCCCTAAACCCTAAACCCCTCACCCCTAAACCCCTAAAGCCATCGGAACTACCAGGCCGTTTATGTCACCCAGAAGCCTGGAACTCCACCATCGAAGCCCAAGTTGTCACCCAGAAGAGCTATCTCCCAGGAGGTTGAGGGTTTAGGGTTTAGGGCTTAGGGTTTATGGTTTAGGGTTGAGGGTTTAGGGTTTAGGGCTTACTTGGAGGATCATGGGACTTAGTATGTAAGGTTATAAGTCCCTTGAGTGGGGTTATAAGTAAATATAAGTATAGTTGCCTGAGTTATAACCCTACTTGCTAAGTCCAATGATCCTTCATATAACCTTACATACTAAGTCCCATGATCCTCCAAGTAAGCCCTAAACCCTAAACCCTCAACCTTAAACCCTAAACCCTAAGCCCTAAACCCTTAAGTAGGGTTTAGGGAGATAATCTAGGTGTTTCTTATCATACCGCACCGCAAAACTGAAGGTCCTAGCGGGCTTTAGGGTTTAGGGTTTAGGGTTCGGGGTTTAGGGTTTAGGGTCTAGGGGTTTAGGGGTTTAGGGGTTTAGGGGTTTAGGGTTTAGGGTTAGGGGTTTAGGGTGGCTACAGAAGCCTCCCATCCGGCTATACTTGGAGGATCAGGGGACTTAGTGAGCAAGGTTATAAGTACCTTGATTGGGGGTTATAAGTCATAACCCTAAACCCTAAGCCCTAAACCCTCGACCGAAAATGGCTCTGACGCCAGAGACCGTTTGTGGCTTAGGATTTTCGGGTATAGAGTTAGGGGAAGTTCTATCACGCGCAGCTTATAAGGAACTAGAAGTACCCTTGCCAAGCTTCAAACGCTAGTTACTACGTCCCATGATCCTTCAAGCGCCCCTAAAGCCCTTATAGTAAGCCTTATAGTGACCCCTTTCAAGACCCCTTTAAGGAGCCCCAGTTAATAAGTCCCATGCCAAGGGCCGCCCAGCAGCATCTGAACCGAATGGTGAAGAGTCGAGCTCCTGGGTGCCTCGAAATGCATTCGTGACGAGGTAAGGGTTTAGGGTTTAGGGTTTAGGGTTTAGGGTTTAGGGTTTAGGTAAGGATGTGTGCAGGATAAATATGAACGTAGGGAGCGTGACTCTGTATCTACACCCACATAGAGATAAATAGATAGGTAGATAGATATGTAGATGTGTACCTATGCATAAATAGATATAGGCAGAACATTTCGACCTGTCTGTCTGCTCATCTGCCTCTAACCTAGTTTACTGTCTGCCTTGTCTATGCCAATATCCAGTCTCGGTCTCTTTCTTTGTTTAGTTCTTTCTTTCTTTCCTTCTCGCTCTCTGTAACATGTAGGTGTACAGTCATATAGTCATGTATAATGAATACTCCAGCAGACAGACACATCTGACTCTCTCCAACCCAGTTCTCCAAACCCAAAACCCGAAAACGCCCCTGAACAGAAACCCCAAGCCCGTACCTCTTTCTGCTCCATTTCCCCCATAAGTGACTGAATTTAAGACGCCCCTAGTGGGGACATCCGGTCGACGGACACTTTTTTCCAGCACCCAGAAGATGTAGAGCTTACGGTTTAGGGTTGAGGCTCGAGGGTGCATGAGTTAGTCCATCGGCATAGGGAAAACAAAGCATTTCTGTGTTCTTTTTGTCGTGGTACTCCTGGTTATGACAACCAAAGCTTTGCGACAATGTAAGATAGGACAAGACAAATGAAACATAGTTTACTTCACTATAACATGACAAGTTTTTTTAAACCAATAAGATAGGAGACGATACACTAATGAACATACGATCGTGCTGCAAGATATGTTATGCTCCGCAACAGCCTTAAGGGGTTCCTGTAAAGGGTTCCTTTCAGGATTCCTTGACAAGGATTCCTTTTGGGTTCCTTTAAGGGTTCCTTTCAGGATTCTTTCAAGGGTCCCTTTAAAGCCTAAGCCCCAAACCCTAAACCCTAAATCCTAAACCCTGGCCCTAACCCCTGAACTCTAAACCCTGAACCCTAAACCCTAAACCCTAAATCCTCAACCCTAACCCTTAAACTGTAAACCCTAAACCCTATACCCTCAAACCTAAAGCCTAAACCCTAAGAGCTCCGCCTCCGCCGCTTCTGAAGGCTTCTGCACTTGCCAGCGGATCCGGAGAGCGGCGACCTGGAAAGCGAAGACGATGAGCAGGCCTGGCGTTCTCCTGAAGGAGGGTTTGGGGGTTTAGGGTTTAGGGTTTGGGGTTTAGGGTGTAGGGTTGAGGGGTTGAGGGGTTTAGGGTTTAGGGGTGTAGGCGTTTAGGGGTTTAGGGGTTTAGGGGTAGGGGTTTAGGGGTTTAGGGGTTTAGGGCCGTTCTCCCCAAGGAATGCCTAAAATGAGTCTTAAAGGAACCCTTGAAGGAACCCGTGAATGTAGCCGTCCCTCCCCGGACCTTGCAAAATCACTTACAAAAGGAATATACCATAGATAGAAGAGGCCCCCTAGTATGATTTAAGGCATATTCCCTATAGAACCACCATTTAAGGAACCTCTTAAAAGAGCCCCAAAACCCTATTCTAATTATTAAGGCCCCCAAACCCAAAGCCCATACTTAGGTGACGTGGGGAAGGTCTGGGTCCCTTGCAAGGAATCCTAAGCCCTGCTTGGAGGATCATGGGACTTAGTAAGTCAGATACCTGAATTATAACCCTACATACTAAGTCCCAAGATCCTTTAAGTATGCTTAATTGGGGTTGTAAGTATAGGTACCCTAATTATAACCCCAATTACTAAGTCCCATGATCCTCTAAGTGAACCCTCGGCAAAGAAGCCGGAAAGGAAGCCTTCAATGAACCTGGAAGGGATCCTTAAAGGAAGCCTTGAAAGGGACCCCTAAACCCTAAAGCCTAAACCCTAAACCCTAAACCCTAAACCCTAAACCCTCAACCCTCAACCCTCAACCCTAAACCCTATACTCTCTACCCTAAACCCTGAACCTTAAACCCTAAACCCTAAACCTTAAACGACCCGTCAAGGAGCCCTTCAAGGGACCCGGAAAGTCCTTCAGGCCCTAAGTTGAGCAGGGTTCATGCGGAGAGCGTGGGGCTTAGGGTTTGGGGTTTAGGGTTTAGGGTTTAGGGTTTAGGGTTTAGGGTTTAAAGGTTTAGAATTTAGGGGTTTAGGGTTTAGGGTTTCAGGATGTCCGTTTTGGGCTTAGGGTTTAGGGATCTAGGGGTTACTAGGGCTTGAAGAGTTGCAATGGCATCCCTGAGGATTCGTTGAGACATGAAAAAGTATATAGACAGGTATTTGCATATGTATATGTATATATGAATATATATAGGTAGATATAGATAGTTTTGGGAAAACATGCCACACTTGGGCCCCTGTAGTCGTGTCTAGGGTTGCCAGATGGTACATTTCATATCATACTCTGTTGTGGTTCAAGTCTTGACGTGTAGCTCCTGCCAGACATGAAATGTTTTCGGAGTCGCTTCTTACTGAGGCAAGGTTGCATTGTGTGGCGTTAGTATGGTAAGGGCAGTAAAACTAAGCTTGGTCTTGTTGCGATAATCCATCGCAGGTTCAGGCCTACTTACTTCAATGGATCAGGCTGACTTGCAGACTCAGAGGTCGTGGAATTAGGTTTGTGAAAGAGCATAGTAGAACGCCCCAGTCATGTTGTTTGTGAAGCAGGTAGGGCTCTACTGGTTTATGTTTCATTGATTTTGCCATGTCCTTCTTGCATTGCTTGGCCGCGAGGCCCTCAAAACCCACACGCCTAAACCCTACTAACCCTAAACCCTAAACCCTAAGCCCGAAATGGTGGGGTTTAGGGTTCAGGGGCCCGGAACTTGAACCTATCAACCCGAATCCCAAAGCCCTGCCAGCCTTCTACTTAAACCTTGGTCCCTAAGATNNCCCTAAACCCTAAGCCCGAAATGGTGCACGCTCTTGCTTCCCCCATCGTCAGGCCGACTGCCCGCTCGCTGCGGAGGAGGCACGCCACGGTTTTGGGTCTTCGCCGCTTGGTTCTGAACTCCCTACCCTAAACCCTAAACCCTAAACCCTAAACCCTAAACCCTAAACCCTAAACCCTAAACCCTAAACCCTAAACCCTAAACCCTAAACCCTAAACCCTAAACCCTAAACCCTAAACCCGAAGCATTTGGCAGA